GATGCTACATGGAATGGCAAGCAGTCCTGCCTTCAGGTTTCTGCTTGAGTTCCTGTGCTGACTTACCTCAGTGATGGTCTATGAACTGGAAGCGTAAGTCAAATGAACTCTTTTCTCTCCTAAGTTGCTTTTGGTCAGAGTGATTTAGCATAGGAACAGAGTGGAACTAGCATAGATTGGAACATACACACACACACACACACACACACACACACACACACACTTCAGGTAATAAAAATAAGCATCTTTTTTTTTAAGAGACCAAAGTGCTGGCAAGATGGCTGAGCAAGTAAAGGCACTGGATGCTCTCCAGAACTCACATAAAGATGGAAGGAAAGATCAACTCCACAAAGCTGCTGTCCTCTGACCCCATACACCATGCATGACACACACATGTCTCCCTGTCCACAGTAATGATGAGTAAAGTATTTTTGAAGTAATTTTTAACAAGCAAGGCTAGAAGACTCAAGAGGCTATATATTATGTGAGTCTAACTTTACAACCTATCCAGAATAAGCAAATTCACAGAGTCAGAAATATTATCAGTGGTCAGTAAGGGCTGGGGCAGCAGGTGAATGAAAGCAAGTCTTTAGAGCAGTGGTTCTCAGCCTTCCTAATGCTTCAACCCTTTAATGCAGTTCCTCATGTTGTAGTAACCTCCAACCATGAAATTATTTTCATTGATACTTCATAACTAAACTTTTGCTACCATTACAAATCATAACGTAAATATCTGGTATTTTCAATGGTCTTAGGTGACCCCTATGAAATAGTTATTTGATAAGCCCCTTCCTCAGAAGAGTCATGACACACAGGTTGAAAACCACTTTAAAGGTTTCAGGATTTATGGTTGGGGTGATGAGACACTTCTAGGACACCATGAGTGTACTTAGTGCTACTTTTTCATTAGGTGTGCTTCTGGGACTTTCAGTGTTGGCATAAGGCTCCTCCAGGCTGCTGGCAAACTGCACTGAGTCTGGCTGTGTTACACCAGCTTCAAGACAAGCCAGGAAACTTGCATTTTCACAGGCTCCTGGCTGACTCGGACTCTGAGGATGCCTAGCTTGGAGACAGGCACTGTTGTTCTGTTTTCTAATTGGAACACGCCATATGTGCTGTTCACTCCTCCCCAGCTGCTGCAACCCACACGTTCCTAGGGAGCAGCAGGTCCCTTAACTCAGCAGCTGTGGGCAGAGTGGCGTCAGTAGTCAGAGTAGCATTGGGAGTGGGAGGGGGCTGATGACGGCAGTGATAATAAAGACCTGGTTTGGGCAGTATAGTTGTCACCCACCCCTTATCTGCCCCATTTTTGAGTTCTACCATTTTGGTTACCTGTATTCAGTTACAGTGCAATTGTCATCGTTGTCATCATCGTCATCAATTACAATGCAAAATAACAATAATATTAATAATCTAAATGAAAAGTTCCAGAAACAAATAGTTTGTAGGTTTTAAAGATTTCTGTTTCATTATTATGTGCCCATATAGTCACATAGACACAGACAACCAAGGGTACACACACACACACACACACACACACACACACCACTTCTCAGGCTATACATCAGGCCTGCCAGTGACTGCAGTGCAAGTTGAACATTCTAGAACACGCTCATGCTCAGATCGGTTCTTCATGCTCCCACACCTTGAGAGAGCAGAGTCTGACTATTTTCAGCTCACAGTCCTAACGGCTTGTGAGGCTGGATGGATGCGGTTATACTTGTGGATCCATGGACTCTACCCAGCCCCTGGCCCAGTGACCACCTCCCAAGCCCCTGAACATGTGGCCCAGAGCTTCTTGCATTGATTTTGGAAGTAGGTTACACGAGTCTCCTGGATTAGTCCTTGTTCCTGACCAGGGCTCTGAGACAAGGGAATACCAGTGCTCTCCGGAACACTGCGGAGCGTGAGGAGCCTGGATAGGACTCTGCACTAACGTCCTTCTCCACTAGTTTGTACTGTCGGAACCCGTTTCATTTCCAGGTTACACTCCCTAAGCCTGGATGACAGCTGTTGCTTTTATTGTTCAGGAGCAGGTGATTCTCCCTCGCTAGTCCCTTCTGATCACGGGCGGCAACTCCCCCTCCCCAACTCTCCCAAATACTGTTTATCAAAATCTTCAGGCCCACAAGGATTTCCAGATGGCACTGGGCCAATTTAGTATTGAATTTCCTCTAGTCCTGGAAGGTAAACATTTATCTCTGCAGAAATGGGTTTTTGTTTTCTTCTTTAGTTTGTCTTGAGGAGAAAAAAAAAAAACCTTACATAAAGTGTTATTCTTAACTTTATTCCCCCACCCCCCTCCCCGGGGTTAGGGATTGAACCAAGGCCCTGGATATGTTCTGCCCCTGGGTAACACCCTCAGCCCCCTCTTAGTCGTGTGTGTGTGTGTGTGTGTGTGTGTGTGTGTGTATTATATGCATGCTCCCGTGGAGGCCTGAATGGAGTCCGGAGGGTGGTGCTGAGTATCTTCTTCAATCATCTTCCATCTTTAATCCTTAGAAACAGGGTTTGTTATTAAACCTGGAGCTAGGCTGGCAGTCACGAAGCCCCAGGGATCTTCCAATCTCCACCCTCCCCCACCTAGCACTGGGATTCCAGGCTCTTGTCACCCGAGCTTGGCTTTTGATAGGTGCTGGGGATCAAGTCTTGAGTCATCAAGCTTGCCCAGTGTGTGATTTACCATGAGCCATCTCTGCAGCCCCATTTCTTTCTCAGATGCTTTTTTTTTTCCCCCAAATGAATACTGTTTAATCCATTGCCACTGGCAGGACTTCCTATTGGCCACCGTATTAACTGTGTTCTGGTCGGCTCATCAGTCTTTGCTCAGGTGAAAGAGTTCACCAGCCTGGTGGTGATATATTCTTCTGTGCAAATGTGTGCTGCAGTAGTGAATGTACGTCCCCCTCTCCCTCTGCCTAACTTTTATACCATCTCCCTTATTGCTTCTGCTCCAAGTGGTTTCTCTCTATGGCTAGCTGAAGCACTTTCATCTGTGCAGACATTGTTTGTCACCTCTAATGTGGCTTCCTCGGGCTATCTGCCCAGCTCAGAAATTCTCATTCAGATTTCTTAAAACCATGTGGAGGGAAAAGAAGAGAAGTGAGCTTAATTGTGAGAGGCTGAGAGATGGCTCACAGGTAAAGGAGCTTGCCAGGAAGCTTGACAACATCAGGACCCATACGGTGGAAGGAGAGAACCCCTGCCTGAAAGTTGCCCTTTGACTGCTACGTACACCCTGGCTATGTAGAACACACACTGGGGTAGTTTTTCTGCTGTGAACAGACACTATAACCAAGGCAACTCCTATAAGAACAACATTTCTTTGGGGCTGGCTTACAGGTTCAGAGGTTTAATTCATTATCAAGGCAGGAGCATGGCAGCATCTAGGCATGCATGGTGCAGGAGGAGTTGAGGGTTCTACATCTTCATCTGAAGGCTGCTAGGAGAAGATTGACTCTCATGTGGACAAGAGGAGGGTCTTATTGTCCACCTCAGTGTGACACTTCCTCTAACAAGGTCACACTTGCTCCAACAAGGCCACACCTCCTGTTAGTGTCACTCTCTGGGTCAAGCATATTCAGATCACTATAGGTGGGGAAGGGCTAGCATTTGAACAGGTGAGTTTGGTGTTGGGGGCGAGAGGACCATACACAGACCTCTTTTCCTCCCACCATCCCAGCCCTTGACTGACTGACAGAAATTTCCAAATCTCTTCATCTTTTCTCACTTCTTGTTCATCAATACACCATCCTGTCTTCTTCCAGGCTGTACATGGCTGTACCTTTAAGGAACCAAACCCATGATGTAGAGAGGCCAGCCCCTGCCTATGCAGAAACCACATGCTTTTCAATGGGCAAAGGCTGTCGTGTATCCTTCAGAGGCAAAGAATCTGCACAGTATCTGCTAAAGGAACTGTTAGAGCTCTCTATAGCAAAGCCAAATAAAAGAGCCGTGGAGAGTGGTGTATTCCTCTAACTCCAGTACTGAGCTGAAGGGGGAGAGACAGGAGGATCCGTGGGGCTCCTTGGCTGGCTTGTCTAGCTGAATCAGCAAGATCCAGGTTCAGTGAGAGATTCTGACCCAAACAAAACACACACACACACACACACACACCAAAAAACAACAACAAAAAAATCTGATGTTGGCACACACCTTTGATCTCTGCCTAAAGAGGCAGAGGCTGGCTTCATGCCAAGAAGGGTGTTGCATTCTCCATGGCTTTTCTACCACTTCCCTTTCATCCTGTATTGTTACTTTTCCTTGTCAATGTGACAAAAATCCCTGACGAAAGCCACCTAAAGAACAGAGGGTCTATTCTGGCTCACAGTTTCAGGGTGCAGTTCATCATGTCAGAGAAGGCTTGACATCAGGAGAGTGATGCAATTGGTCATTGCATCTGCAGTCAGGAGGAAGAGAGAGGAATCCTGGGACTCAGTTCACCTTCTCTTTTTTACTTGGTCCAGAACCCCAGCCCATACACAGTGCCATTGACATTCACTATGGGCCTCCCTACCTCATTCAACCTAATCCTGAGATGCACCTCCTAGATGATTCTAGATCCTGTTAAACTGACAGTGTTACCATCCACGTACGTCATAGCACAGCTGTCTTCGATTAGTGTATAGAGATGTATTCTAACTTCCTAACTTCCAGAGAGTTAAAATTCCTCACATGCCAACTTTTTTTTTTTGCAATCAAAGATCTTCCTGGTGTTTTGGAATGTTTATTTTTTAATACTTTTAAGCTATGCATATTTGTATATCTTTATGTGAATATGTACACATGTATGCAGATGTCCACGGAGGCCAATAGAGTGTATCAGGTCACTAGGGCTGGAGTTACAGCCGTCTCTGTGCATGCTGGGAACTGAGCTCTGGTACTCTCCATGAGGTATAAGTACTCCTAGCTACTGGACATCTATTCAACCCAGTCACAGCATTTGGGGTACAGATCTGAGTTGACTTATTCATGTGTTTCTTGCATTTTGTCGTTTATAGAGGAGCTGAAGGCCCCCTTGGAAGAGTATGTCCACAAACGCTACCCTGGGCTGGTGAAGGTGGTACGCAATCAAAAGAGAGAGGGCCTGATCCGAGCACGCATCGAGGGCTGGAAGGCGGCCACTGGCCAGGTCACTGGCTTTTTTGATGCTCATGTGGAATTCACTGCTGGCTGGTAGGTCATGAGCTAAAGCTTAGTGCTTAGTAGGGATGAATCTGGGAGGTGGGCCATTTTACCTGTTTTTCTCCCCCTGGGGCCACTGGAAGAATGGAGAAGGGAGGCTTGGTGAGAAGGCCACTGGGATAAAGTGGGAAAGCAAGAAAGTGAATCACTGGCTGGCTTTCTACACACTGTTACTGTTATCATCAATGGATCAGTCACTTTTCTCCTTGCTGTGTCATAAAGTACCTGACAAAAGCAACTTATGAAACAAAACAACAATAACTGAAAGACCCCTCTAAGGGGGGGACTCATGAAGGACGTGGCCCCCAAAGACACTCCAGACACCTCTTGCTGTAATAACATGAGTCAGGTTTAATAAACGAAGCTTCAGACCGAAACGTATCTCACGTAGGAGACAGGGGATTCGGCCCTGAGATCTAACAGTTTAGGGTTTTTATAGATAAAGGCTGGGGGGAGGGAAAGAGTTGTGGGTAATCGCACACAATTGGTTGTTATAAATGTCTATAATATGTGTAAGCAGATCTCAGGCAGAGGTTTGACAAATCTCATGAGAATACTCTCTGGTCCCTGTGGCCTTGGGACCCAGTGTAAATGTTTATCTGAGCCAACAGACCATCTGGCTGAATTTAATTCGCAAGTCCTTGGGACCTCTGGTGGGAGTTTCTCCAGAGGAGGCTAAGTCAGACACCATGGGAACAGATTCCCGGAACACTCAATTGACCTTTGTTTCTCTGTTCTGCATCTCTTGTAACAGCCTTGGGTTAGCAAGCTAGCTGACCTATTATTCTTAACTATTTGTATTCTTGTTATATTATTTAACTAACTTAAAAAATACCTTTTCACAACAACAACGAAACAACTTTAGCTCATGGTTTGAGGGTACACAGTCCGTCATGGCAGAGGAAAGCATGGCGGCAGGAGTGTGAGACAGCTAGTTACATTGTATCCACAGTCGGGAAGCAGAGAGAGAAGGATGCTGGTGCTCAGCTCACTGTCTCCTTTTTATTCAGTCCAGGACTCCAGCCCATAGGCTCCTGCCACTTCAATTAACCAGTCTAGAAGCTATCTCACAGACACACCCCCTCAGACATCTAGTTTGATTCTAGATGATGACAATGTGACAATCAAGATGAACTATAACGGTCATTGTGGTGGTTAGTAAATCCAAGGCCAGCCTGGGACACATGAGTCCTTGTCTCAAAAATAAGTCAGTTCTCTAAAACAATAACAACAGGTAGAGCTAGCAGTATAAGGAGGATAGCTAAATCAGCCAAGGGAAGCAAGCCAGTAGGCAGATAGCCCAAAATAATTTGGCTTTGGACCTTCAACATTTGAACTCTCCACAATCAGACGCCAATGGACCATGTATAGAGATTGATGACACCGTGCAGGATTCCGTGAGTTCTGAGTTGAGAACACTGTTTTAAAAACTAAGGTGGAGAGCATGGAAAGATGGCTTAGTGGTTACGAGTGTTTGCTGCTCTTCCGTAAGACTGGATCTAGTTCAGCTCCTGGCACAAACATTAGGTGGCTCACAGCTAACAACTCCCTGAAAGGCCACTCCAGGGTGCACAGACGTACACACAAATCCATAAATAAAAATAAATCTTAAAAAATTATAAGGAGGCAAGGCATTTGAGGATAACATCCAAAATTGACCTCCGGATTTGATGTAAGTGAGCACACATGCATACACTCACACATATATGTTCTCAGACACACATGAACACGTGCACACACAAAAACATTACACTCACACACATATGCTTTTGCATATGTGAACACATACACACACAAAAAAACCACACACATACCATACCATATGTTGTTTAAAAAAAAAAAAAGCAAGCCTCCCTTACTGAGAAAACTAGGAATGGCTTCTCAGAACAGGTGATATTACAGCTAAGCTTCTTGGTGACTCTGCTTTCTGCCGGCTGCCAAGGGCATTCCCTAAAGAGAATCTCTTCAGTGAAGACGTGAGGGGAGAGAGCTGAGGAGACTAATTTCCCTCTGGCTTCCGCCTCCACCATGTGTGTAAAAAGTATCGAAGGCAGTCAACGGCCCAGGGTATATTTTATTGCTCATTTTAAATAGAAAGGTGAGCTGCGCCAACAGGTAATTCAATAGCTGCAAATGAAAAGAGACTGGTGCAGCCTGTAAGTTCTCATTATTCTTCCAAAGAGCACAAAGAAATGGGATTTTCCACTTGACTCTTTTCCAAAGTCTACGCTCTGGTCCAAGCTACAAGATTAATGTCTTAGCTTACGTGAGCCATCTTTAGCTTCTGGAATTCAGAAAGTGATTCCTTCCTGTGATCCGGCCTCACAGATTCACGCTTGACCATCTGCTTTGGGCTAAGCCAGCCAGCTAACACCTTGAAGCCTGGAGCCAGTTCATGCTGGCTGCAGCCTTGAGGGAGGAAGCGCCGCTGGGAGTCGAGATTTGCCCGATTTTGGGTTTAATTAGTTCCAAGGCTTCTGCTGCAGACCAATCGGATGTTTTAAAGCAATCAATTAGATGATCAGTTAAAACAACAAAAATAGTCGCACCCACACAAAGAAACTAATGAAACTGCTTATTACATCCAGAATGACCTATTTGGGGATTGGAAATTTAGTCCCAGCAGAAAGGAAAAGGAAAGAAAGGAAGAAAGGAAGGAAGGAAGAAAGAAAGAAAGAAAGAAAGAAAGAAAGAAAGAAAGAAAGAAAGAAAGAAAGAAAAGCAACAGTGCTATGTGGGAAAACCATATTGAACTGTCAATCATACAGAGATAGAACAGTATGCATGACAAACAGGCCTGGAGAGATGGCTTAGCACCTACTACTCTTCCAGAGGACCTGAATTTGGATCCCAGAATCCATACCAGATGGACCACAAGCACCTGGAGCTCCAGCTCTGGGAAATTTGACACCTTCTTCTGCCCTCCAAGGGCAGGGCACTCACATACACATATCTATACATGGACACCTTTACATGAATAAATCCTTAAAAAGAGAAAGAGAGATGGGGGAGGGGCTTGAAGGTTTGGCACTTTCTAGGGATAAGCCCCCACGCTAGTTCTCTCACCATGCCTCTCCTGTCCATACAGACGTCATTATTGTCATTTTATTACGAGCAAAGGTGTGAGAGGCATGCTGCACATTTGAAAACCCATACAGTGTATCCTGGGTTATGGATTCCAAACATGCACGAAGTCCTAGGTTCTATCCTCAATACCATATAAACCTGACGTTTAGGTAAGAGGCTGATGTGTATGCCTCTAATCCCAGCACTCAGCAGATAGAGGCAGGAAGATTGGTAGTTCTAAGACAACCTGGGCCAGCCTGGAAAACACAACTGGGCTAGGGATGCATTTTGATTGGTAGAAAGCTTGCCTAACATGAAGGAGGCCCTGGGTTCGATCCTCAGCCTCAACCTGGCTGCGGTTGTGAGTACTTATCATCCCAGCACCAGGGGAGTGGATGCAGGAGGATCAGAAGTTCGAATTCCTCCTTTCTTACACATCAACTTTGAGGCCAGGCTGGAATACATGAGATCCTATCTCTTCGTTCTGGGTGATTTTAGGAGTCTGCTGATTGATGCATGCACCAACGGAGAGATTTCATTGTGACTTCTCTGCTTTGCAGGGCTGAGCCCGTTCTGTCCCGCATCCAGGAAAACCGGAAGCGGGTCATCCTCCCCTCCATCGACAACATCAAGCAGGACAACTTTGAAGTGCAGCGCTACGAGAACTCCGCCCACGGGTACAGCTGGGAGCTGTGGTGCATGTACATCAGCCCCCCGAAAGACTGGTGGGATGCTGGAGATCCCTCTCTCCCCATCAGGTCTGTGACAAGTATGCTCTGGTGGGGGCGGGGCTGGTAAAATCAGCTGGATAGTGAGACTCCAAACCTAAGAGCTATGGAGAAGGCCTGGGAAAGCTGGGCAAAGACCGGTGTGGTGGCGTGCAAGCAGCTCCCTGGAGGACGGTGGCGTGTCAGGGTCATAATTCCTTGCTGAGGGAGACGATTGCATTTTATTGCGGCAGCTGCAGTTCGTAGGCACCGCTTTCCTATGGCTGCCATGAAAGTTTAAAATTGGTAATAATACAATTTTTCATCCTTCCTCAGGTGTTACATAGCTTCACGTTCTATGATCTTACCTACCCTTGGTTAACCTGTCTGAAAACACTAAATTATCTCAACCTCTCTGCTCAACATCTGTAATATATCTGCAAAGATTTTTCCTACAGCGTCTTAGTCACAGGTTGGAGATCAGGGTATGGAACGGGGCAGGGAACAGCATCTTTCTACCTAGCGTCAAACTGAATTTTTGTTTCAAGTTTTATTTTAGTTATTGTTGTTGTTGTTATTGGAGGTGCATCTGTGCTATGACACACATGTGATACCTAAGAACAACTTTGTGGACTCAGTTTTCTCCTTTCACCTTTATGTGGGTTCTGGGGATCAAAGTTAGGTTGTCAAGCTTGCATGATAAGGACTGTATTTACTGAACCATCTTGTCAAGTCCCAAACTGATTCTGTGTGTGTGAGTGAGTGTGTGTGTGTGTGTGTGTGTGACACACACATAGGAGAATGTCACATCATTTGCTCAGGCACCTGTATTTGAGACAGTGGCTCTCACTAAATGGAACTTTGCTACATATGCCAGGCTAGCTGGCCAGTGAGCTTTCAGGAGAATACCTTTGTGTCTGCACTTTACCCACTGAGCCATTTCCCCTGCCTCCAACTCTTAAAATAGTATTAATTCTGTGTCCAGTCATTAGAGGTGGGAAGGGCAGCTTCTCTCGGCCTGGCTTTAGTGCACATTTGTCAGTACCAGTCAGAAAGCGAAAGGGAAGCACAGAACAGGAGTAAAGACTTTCTATAGGTGAGCAGGGGTTCTGTCTTCACGTCATGGTATAGGCTCATTGATGAGGTGTTATCTGAGAGCCAAGGTACAACCCCCGTAAATACTCACTCCATCTTTAATAGTAAGCATGTGGGGACTCAGTCACCTTCAAAACTAAACACGTTCAGTTTCACATTTTTTCATCAAATAATCCTTACTCCCTCGTGCCCTTGTGACACAGGGAGAAGCTGGTCCCCAGTTGTGACTGAAAGAATGGGAGGGGGGACAGTGGGGTGAGGGGGTGAATTGGACACAGGGAGGAGCTTTGATAGCCAAGTACCTTTGTATGTGTGAATGTGAGGCAAGAGCTCTGCTGCTGGCCCTTCACTAGGGTATGCAGGCAGTGGTCTCCCTCTCAGCCACGCGCCAGCCCCTCACTGTAAGATTCTAAGCAAGGGCCTCTCCTGAGCCATACCTCCAGCTCCTCAATGGGGGATTCTCAGAAGAGCTCTACTGTAGGTTCATATCCCACCCCCAGCTCTTTGCTGGAGGATTCCAGGCAGGCTTTCTTATACTGGGCCAAGCCTCTGGCCCTTCAGTGGACACTTGCTCTAACTCTGAGCCATACCTTCAGTCCCTCAGTGAAGGATTCTAAGCAAAGCCACCACCACTGAACTACATACACCCATAGCTTTGGTGGAATGGCACACAGACATTGGCCAGTCTGAGTAGGAAGGCTCTGGGTGAAACTATAGCGTGTATCTCACAAGTTACTGTCACATTACCAGATGATTCATATGCTCTTTAGAGACTCAAGAACACAGAGTTGCGATCCTGAGCCATTAATATTACACGGTTCTCTGATGTACAGAATGGAAGCCTGCACCGGTACTCCCCTCAGCGTGCATCTTTACTTATCAGACACTTAATTTGTTAATGGTTGATGGGGAGATTTAATTGTCGGAAAGGAGTTTTATGGGCCTTCTGATGTCATTAAGCTGATATAATGTGCTTTCTTAATCATGAGGACATGGTAATTTCTCCTCCATCCAATGATGCCAAGATGCTAGTGGTTATGTCTATAGCCCATTAAAGGGACAGAGAGTCTGTTGTATTCCAAATAGCATAGACTAGGTGAAGCTTTGGATACCAGATTTCATATAAGAAGCTTTACCCCGGAAGCTAGAGAGATGATGCAGAGGCTAAGAGTGCTTGCTGCTCTGGCAGAGGACCGCAGGCTCAGTTTTCAGAATCTGTATCTGGCGGCATACAACCAAGTATGTATGTTCCAGCTTTAAGAAATCCAGCGCCCTCTTCTGGCCTCAATGGACACTGCACTCATGTGCATAAATCACAGACACACAAACATGCATGTAAAATAAAAACAGCAAAGTTTTGCTTTAGGGAAACATAGTACATTTCTTTCTTCTGTTCTAGTGTTGAGTACTGAAGCTAGGGTTTCATGAGCACTAGACAGGGGCTCCACCACTGAGCCACGTCACAGCCCTCTTATATTTTTACTTTGGATTTGAGGGCAGGGTATTTTTAAGTTATATATGGTGGCCTCAAACTCATTCTTTAAACCAGACAGGCCTTGAACTTGTGGTCTCCCACCTCAGCCTCCATAACAGCTAAGATGACAGACTTGCACCATGACGTCCAGCCTATAGAATTGTTTTCCTTTGACCTAAAGAGCTGTTTGCCAAGGTTTCCTGTTGGTTCTCTGTCCTTGACAATTTATAGCTGAGCTTCAAGTAAGAGTGAGGTGACCTCCTCAAAGAGAACAATGGCCCCAGCTAAGAGCTGGAGTTACAGATGGTTAGAAAATACGTCTTGCCCAAGGAGGCACCTGCTCCCAGCCCCATGTGATTCCACACTGAGATCCAAAACGATTGGCTCCCCAGCCTTTTAAAAACTCTTCTCTTTGTGTCTATGTACATGTTATCTGTGTGAGTTTTATCCCAAATGTGTGCGGGTGCCCATAAAGTTCAGAAAGGGGTATCAGATTACCTAGAGCTGGAGTTACCGTTATATACGGGAACTTTCTTGGACCCACCAGTGTTATAAATAATGATACAGAGACTCCTACTACAGTTTAAAGTTTAGGCTTTTTGCTTGGACAGTCTCCCAGCCAGCTCATCTTACTTAACTTGATGATCTAGCCTTTGACCTGCCACATGGCTAGCTCTGTACCTTTCTCTGCTCAGCTCTGGTCCATGTCTGTTCCATCTGTGTCCACTCTCAAATCTTCTGCTTCTGCTTTCTTCTCATGTATCACTCTGTCTCCAGAAGCTCCACCCTCCTCCTTCCTGCCCTAGCTATTGGCTATCAGCTCTTTATTGCAACCAATCAGCATCGAGACATCACTAGACCGCCTTTAGGCTGATGAGAAAGGACAAATATTTGCAAAATTGAAAACCTGGTGATGGGGCACACACATGACAATAGAAAAATCCTGCCAACTGAGACATACCAACGTGAAGAAAGATTAGCCCAACACAGCCCACCCAGATGTTAGGGATGAAACACAGGTCTTCTGAGAAGCAGCAAGCTCTCTTAACCACAGAGCCAAGTCTTCAGCCATATATACTTTTTTTTTCTTTTAAACTGTGATCTAATAAAGACCAGACCTTGAACTTGCAGTGAAGCTGATGATTAAATTTTTATCTTCTTACCTTCACTTCCAGAGTGCTGGGATTATGTGATACCCGGGATCGAATCCAGGGCTTTGTGTACACTAGGCATGTGTTATACTACTCAAGCTATATCCCCAGTCCCTAGACTTTTTAATAGAAATCACTAGTAGATCTTTTGTGAAATCTGACTTCAAAGTCTATACCATGCTTCCAAAGTGGCCTTGCAGAGGTGAGGGGAAGATGGCTCACTGTATAAAGCACTTGCTGAGTATGTGGACTTCATTATCCAGAATCTCCATAAAGCTGGATGCAGTAGCACACATTTGTAATCTCGGCACTTTAAAGAAAGATTTATGCATTTATTTATTATTTTTATGCTTACATGAACATTCCTGAATAAGTTTATATGCACTCTGTGCATGCAGTAGCCTTTGGTGGCCAGAAGAGGCGTCAGATTCCCCTGGAGCTGGAGTAGTAACTTACCGTTGTGCCTGATGTGGGTGCTGAGAACTGAACCTGAGTTATCAGCAAGATCGAGCGGTAAGCATTCTTAACCTCTGAGCCATGTCTCCAGACCCAGTCCCAGTATCTGTGCAGTTAGATGGAAGGAAGAGATAGGAAATTCTCTGGATGCTTGTTATGGTAGTTTGGATGAAAATGGTCCCCATAAGTTCATAGGAAGTGGCATTGCTTGAAAGGATTAGGACCTGTGGCCTTGATGGTGTAGGTGTGGCCTTGTTGGAAGATGTGTGTTACTGGGGGTGTGCTTTGAGGTTTCAGAAGCTCAAGTCAGTCCCAGTGACTCATTCTCTCTTCCTGCTGCCTAAAAATAAAGATGTAGAACTCTCAGCTCCCTCTCCAGCACCATGCCTGACTGCAAGCAGCCACATTTCCCCGCCATGATGATAATGGACTGAACCTCTAAACCTGTAAGCCAGCCCCAATTAGATGCTTTTCTTTATAAAAGTTGTTGTGGTCATGGTGTCTCTTCACAGCAATAAAACTCTACTGTGATGCTCGTGGACCATGTACTCTGGTGTATACAGCGGCAAACAACAAAGAGACCCCGTCTCAAACAAGACAGAGAGTGAAGGTTGACACCTCAGGTTGTCCTCTGACCTGCTCAACGTGTGCGTGCACACACACACATGCATATGCATGTGCACACAGAAATATGTGCACACACATATATACACAGAAAAAAATAACAAGTGGCATTTAACTATTAGGGAGTGGTACTAGTGTTTTGTCCTGGTAAGAGTTGCTATGGTCATGGTATCTCTTCACAGCAGTGGAATTCCTAACTAAGATACTATGTAAGAAAAGAGCTGGTTTTGCTGATTTGGGCTTGTAAGGAG